TGTCTTCGGTACAAACAATAGGAAAGTGAAAGAACAGAAGATTACTCATTAAACGAAACATTCATTCATTACTTGTTCTCACAATATTTACATTACGAAATCTTTAATTGCTCATTGAAGAAAAATATCTGCAAATATCACAATATTCATAAAATAAGTATACGTTACGTAGTAATGCATTGTTAGGAAAGTTTGCCATGCGCATCTTTCTCAATCGAATCGAAAAATCTCAGATTAACGAACCAATTCCCAATCGCCACGAAAGATTAGTTCGACGGGCGGTCGGAAGAGAACTTGTAGCGATCGACGACCTGTACGCGTCGCTGCGTTTGCTGTTGAAGTGCCGTTTTGAAATGCAGCCAAACGATCCTCTGAAAAATGTATCTATTACTAGAACAGTTAAGTGATGATGAATAATGGTTAAGTTGATCGAATGCATCTCTTTTCTTCAGAATATCGCACCGAACCATTTTGTACACTCAATATCTTCATGAATACACAATACAACCAATATTTCTGAATTCCAATTTTTTTTCGAATGAAAACCAAAATCAGACGACAACATAATAAGACTGTACCAGATTCCCCACGAAAGTCNTTCGACTCGTTACGATGCCGACTGCATCAACCACACAATAAATCGAATGCGAACAATACTAACAAAGTGTTGCACAATGATTAAACACTGTTTCAAATAACATTACTACTTGAAGCTGTTGAAAAAGAGACTGTTTGAAATTTACTCAGAAACACTAACCATACTGCTGATGGAATGACTGCTCAACAATCGGTCCCCGGACTGGTGCTATTGGAGCTCTGACATCTTCATCAACTATCATACAACTGCAATTTTTGACTGATTCAAATCCAGTTAGTCTGATTTATCTTCAGATCAATTGAATGATCAATAAAGATTCAGTAACTTCGATTTTCAAACGGATAAAACCAGTTGTAATAAGTCTGAAAGACTTACTCATCATCATTATGCACATCTGTTTCATTGCATTTTTGGCTATCCTTGTTGAGAATACTTGATCGGGTAGAGCCGTTGAATGTGACCGCATGTCGTGCTTTTGAAGGACCAGCCATGTTTGTGAGAGTATGCTTACTACTCGAGCGTGTGATGCGTCGATTACCGTTAGCATTAGTATCATGACCAGTATTACTATTAGATGATGATGAACATTGAGGATCCTTTGACGATATGACTGGGCGCTGTTGAAAGTAGAGATCAGCTGCTCTTGCAACATCACCATCACATGCTTCTATCAATTGCTCACATTCTGCGTTATCCTCGCATCCTGAATCGCTTAACACTGANGTAATAACACTACTGACTAATCCACTGATCGTTTGCTTTTTACTTATTGATTCTATAAAAGTTATAGCAGCTATCTGCGACTCAGTTCAGTCTTTCGATAACATTCGAAGAATGACTTCTCCACTGAATTGACTACAACAGCAAGAACCGACGAATCAGCTGAATACGAACGGACAGTGAAAGGTGATAAAAAGACGAAAAGTGACTTGGTTCACCTGTAAACGATTTAAACTTTTCCAGTGCACTTTCACCATCAGTGTCCATTGTGTGCAGCTGTTAAATGAAATGAGCACCGATTGGTGCTTTGCAACGATTAAGTATCCGCAAAATTCTGAACATCCCAAAATTTGAATTTTTACATTATGAAAAATTAAAGTTTGCGGTCGCTTTCAAAACACAACTTATAACTAAACGAACCGATAAGCACGATAAGATTTCGCTATCAGTCAAGAAGAAATTCACTAAATTTGAAGAGAACTTCGCAACAGTTTTCTCAATCGATAGAATTAGCTCGAGGAGTGACTATGAAGAATTCAGATAGAAGTATCACGCTCGCAGAAACACATTTCATATAAAGATGAGAGTAGGGAAATACAATTCGAAAGCCCATATAACATCAAATCAGTAGCTGAAACATGGTTGTGAACATTTTATGTGATACATTTCGAGTGCGA